CTGGCAAGATGATTGGTGGAGGTACTGGCAAGATGATAAGTGGAGGTACTGGCAACATGGTAGGTGGAGGTACTGGCAACATGGTAGGTGGAGGTACTGGCAAGATGATAAGTGGAGGTACTGGCAAGATGATAGATGGAGCTACTGGCTAGATGATAAGTGGAGGTACTGGCAACATGGTAGGTGGAGGTACTGGCAACATGGTAGGTGGAGGTACTGGCAAGATGATTAGTGGAGGTACTGGAAAAATGGTAGGTGGAGGTACTGACAAGATGATAGATGGAGGTACTGGCAAGATGATAAGTGGAGGTACTGGCAAGATGATAGATGGAGGTACTGGCAAGATGATAAATGGAGGTACTGGCAAGATGATAGGTGGAGGTACTGGCAAAAGATGTGATATAGGTGGAGGTACTGGCAAGATGATAGTGGAGGTACTGGCAAGGATAATGGATAGGTGGGAGGTACTGGCAAGATGATAGGTGGAGGTACTGGCAAGATGATAAGTGGAGGTACTGGCAAGATGATAGTGAGGTACTGGCAAGATGTAGGGTACTGGCAAGATGATAGGTGGAGGTACTGGCAAGATGATAGGTGGAGGTACTGGCAAGATAATAGGTGGAGGTACTGGCAAGATAATAGTGGAGGTACTGGCAAATAAGGTGGAGGACGGAGGTGGGTACTGGCAAGATGATAGGTGGAGGTACTGGCAAGATAATAGGTGGAGGTACTGGCAAGATGAATGTGGAGGTACTGGCAAGAGTGGATTAGATGGGGAGGTACTGGCAAGATGATAGTGAGGTACTGCAAGATGATAGGTGGAGGTACTGGCAAGATGATTAGTGGAGGTACTGGCAAGAATGTGGTAGATGGAGGTACTGGCAAGATGATAGGTGGAGGTACTGCAAGATGATATGGTGGAGGTACTGCAAGATGATAGGTGGAGGTACTGGCAAGATGATAGTTGGAGGTACTGGCAAGATGATAGGTGGAGGTACTGGCAAGATGAAGTGAGTTGGGAGGTACTGGCAAGATGATAGTGGAGGTACTGGCAAGATGATAGGTGGAGGTACTGGCAACATGGTAGGTGGAGGTACTGGCAAGATGATAAGTGGAGGTACTGGCAAGATGATAGGTGGAGGTACTGGCAAGATGATAGGTGGAGGTACTGGCAAGATGATAGTGGAGGTACTGGCAAGATGATAGGTGGAGGTACTGGCAAGATGTAGTGGAGGTACTGGCAAGCATGGAAGTGGAGGTACTGGCAAATGATAGTGAGGTACTGCAAGATGATAAGTGGAGGTACTGGCAAGATGATAGTGGAGGTACTGGCAAGATGATAGTGGAGGACTGGCAAGATGAAAGTGGAGGTACTGGCAAGATGATAGTGGAGGACTGCAAGATGATTGGAGGTACTGCAAATGATGTGAGGTACTGGCAAGATATATGAGGTATGCAATGGGAGGTACTGGCAAGATAAAGAGTGGAGGTACTGGCAAGATTGGAGTATGGTTGAGGTACTGCAAGATGATAGTGGGAGGTACTGGCAAGATGATAGTTAGAGGTACTGTGCAAGATGATAGGTTGAGGTACTGGCACATGATAGTGAGTACTGGCAAGATGATGTGGGTACTGGCAAGATGATAGGTGGAGGTACTGGCAAGGTTAGGTACCTGGCAGAGATGATAGTTGAGCTACTGGCAAGATGAAGGTGGGGTACTGGCAAGATGATTAGAGTGGAGGTACTGGCAAGATGATAGATTGGAGGTACTGCAAAGATGATAAGATGGAGGTACTGGCAAGATATAGATGGAGGTACTGCAAATGATAAGTGGAGGTACTGGCAAGATGATAGGTGGAGGTACTGGCAAGATGATAGGTGGAAGTATTGGCAAGATGATAGGTTGAGGTACTGGCAAGATGATAGATGGAGGTACTGGCAAGATGATGGGTGGAGGTACTGGCAAGATGAGGTACGGCAAGATGATAAGTGGAGGCACTGGCAAGATGATGAGTGGAGGTACTGGCAGTGAGTCGCAGATGATAAGTGGAGTATGGCAAGAGATGGGTGAGGTACTGCAGATGAGGTACGGCAAGATGATAAGTGGAGGCACTGGCAAGATGATGGGTGGAGGTACTGGCAAGATGAGGTACGGCAAGATGATAAGTGGAGGCACTGGCAAGATAGAGTACAGTTTACAGGAGCTGTTGAATACCGATGATGAAGTCTTAATACTGTTAGGACTGTTGACGCATACCAACTGAAACTGACAGAGATTGGTGACCTTACTGACTGTTCGACAGTATATATCAGGGGTTCCCAACCTGCGACCCGATGGCCGCATATTTACCTTCTGGGAATGGATGCGGTCCTCACGTGAAATCATGAATTCACTTTTATGTAGGTTCCACACTGGACAGTGTCAACAATTACGAAACATTTTTATTATTCATAAAAAAAATTACACAATGCTGCCCTCGTTTTAATTTGGGTTTTTTAAATTGGCCTTTTCGTAATATAAGGTTGGGGACTACTGGTGGTATATTACTGTCTTTTCAACCTCTGTATGTTAGAAGTGATGATGGTCCCAGGAGCAGAACGTTTTCTAATATGTCCTAGTGTCTTCTGATGTGTTTTCTAAACCAATGCCGCTCTAGAATGCTGACTCTTTCACTGAGTGTAAATCCCGACCATTTTGACTACCACAAACTGTAGCTGACTGTAGATTATGTACTGAACTGTATCATAGAGTGTGAGCGCACCAGATGTCTTGATAATCTTGAAGGGTTTTTGATTTAAGGACCTTTAAGGACATGCCTTGTTCTTGATTCAAGGACATGCCTTGATGTTCTTGAAGGGTGGTTGATTCAAGGACCTTCAAGAACATGCCTTGATGGTCTTGATCCAAGGACATGCCTTGATGTTCTTGAAGGGTGGTTGATTCAAGGACCTTCAAGAACATGCCTTGATGGTCTTGATCGAAGGACATTCCTTGATGCTCTCGAAAGGTTCTTGATCCAAGGATTTTCATGGACAGTCGTCTTGATGCTCTCGACGGTCTCTTGATCCAAGGACCTTCAAGGACATGCCTTGATGCTCTTGACGGTTTTCTTCATACCAGAAACTGGAGCTACCCTCCCCTTCCTCGGATCATACTCGAGTGCTTCCAATTCCCCAAATGCTGTATGGCCCGTACAGGTATAGCCCTTCCCCTGTAATAATAATAATAATAATAATAATAATAATAATAATAATAATAATAATTGAGCTCAGTTCAAGACGGTAGATAGTCTTGAAGATAATAGACTGATTTTAGGACGATAGACTGTCGTCAATAAGATAGATTTTCTTGAACATGATAGGCTGTCTTCAAGACGATAGAATGTTTTCAAAGACGATAGTCTGTCTTCGAGACGATAGACTATTGAATGCGATAGATTTTCACCAAGACAATAGAGTGCATTCAACACAATAGAATTTCTTCAAGTCGATAGACATTTCAAGACGATAGACCGTCTTCAAGACGATAGACTGTCTTCAAGACGATAGACTGTCTTCAAGGCCATAGACTGTCTTCAAGGCCATAGACTGTCTTCAAGGCCATAGACTGTCTTCAAGGCCATAGACTGTCTTCAAGGTCATAGACTGTCTTTAAGACTATAGACTGTCTTTAAGACCATAGACTGTCTTCAAGGCCATAGACTGTCTTCAAGGCCATAGACTGTCTTCAGGGCCATAGACTGTCTTCAAGGCCATAGACTGTCTTCAAGGCCATAGACTGTCTTCAAGGCCATAGACTGTCTTCAAGGCCATAGACTGTCTTCAAGGCATAGACTGTCTTCAAGGCCATAGACTGTCTTCAAGGCCATAGACTGTCTTCAAGGCCATAGACTGTCTTCAAGGCCATAGACTGTCTTCAAGGCCATAGACTCTTCAAGGCCATAGACTGTCTTCAAGGCCATAGACTGTCTTCAAGGCCATAGACTGTCTTCAAGGCCATAGACTGTCTTTAAGACCATAGACTGTCTTCAAGGTGAAAGACTTTCTTCAAGACGATACTCTCTTTAAAACAATAGACCTTATAGGCGATGCTTAGCTTCAAGACGATAGAATTGTCTCCAAGACTACACTTTTCTTCAAGACGACATACTTGTCTTCAAAACGATAGACTTGTCTTTAAGACGAGGTGAAGCGTTCTTACATCCACAGCATATTATAGGTGTGGGAGAAGCGGTCGCGGTGTTATGGAGGGAGCAGAAAGCAGCCCAGAGGGACGCCTTCACCACCCAGGTTTAAAATACACAAGCCGGCCTCTGCTTCCCATTTGTCTGCATGAAGCTAGAGCAATTTTCAATGGATTTTGACTTCTCGCTAGCAGAGTTCCACCCACAAATATATATTTTTTGAGATGTATATACCTATGTCAAATATTTTTTTTATTTCGGGTATATATAGCGATTGATGCCAATTGTTGATCTTTTAGACTGCCCAGACTGTTAGTGTAGGTAGTTGACGTTGTGTAGGTAGTTTAAGTAGCCTTGGTAGTTAGGTAGTCGTGGGCAGCCTAGCATGATATACCTGATTTACAACGTAGCTTCAAGTGATTTTAATACCAAAATGCTCCTTGGCTTCTGGTCGCCCCTATTTACTCCCTATTCCCTTGGCTGCTGGCCGCCCCCCTATTGTTCCTCCCCCTTCCCTTGGTTCCTAGCCTCCCTTATTCCCTTAGGCAAGGCGAACACACCAGGCAAGGCGAACATACCTGTTTTTGAACCGTTTCTTCCGCCACAAATTTTCACACTTCTGTTTTTCCAAATGGCGGAAGATGGCGGCGCCAGCAGAAGCTTGCATGTGTTCGTCTGTCTTGCCCGTAACTCTCTGGGACAAATCTTCATGCGTACCACTACCAGACTTAACCAAACAAAAATAAAAAAAAAGCCATTTGAGATTTTTGAACATTGATTCTAACCAAGCGTTGATTTTTCTTCTGTTTTTCCAGCCAATTGGTACGGTGACGAAGCTCTAGGCTCTTTTCCCTTATGCGGCAACAATAGTGGTGCTGG